AACGAACTAGAAATTTTTTTTTTCCTACTACTACAATTGGAACAAGCAAAGAGCGCCAAATAAAGGAACTTTTTTTTTGGTTTTTTCTTTTTTTTGTATATTTTTTTTGTTTTTTTTTTTTTAATCTTGGTCCGCTCAATTGCATTTACATAAATATCAAAATTTTTTTTTTTGGTTTTTTTTTTTTAACAAAATTTTTTGCAAAAAAGAGTAGGGAATAGTAAAGGGGATTAAAGAATGAATATATAGTACACCAAAAAAGCGACATTGTTGTGTACAATAGATTAATGCAAAAAAAAAAGAATGAATTCCTCCGTTAATACAAAAATGATGCCAAATCATAATTTTCATTAATCTCCCAAACAAAACTGAAAAAAAAAAAAAAATCTTTTATGCCTTCTTGCAAACTTTTTACTACTACTCGAAAATACCAAGCACTACACCCCAACATATCAAAAATGGTGAAACAAAGAACCGCCACCAATTGTTTGCCTTTTGTTTTACAAAGAAAAAAGTGTCATAAAGATTACTTTTGGAGAAAATATAGAACCCAACATAATAATTAGTCCCCAGTCTAATAATACTAATAAAAAAAAAAAAAGGAAAAGAAAAATAACATAGTTTCCACAATTCCAAATCATATAACAGAATTGGGAAGTTGCTATGTATTTTGAGAAAGAATGAAAAAAAAAAAAATAAAAACAAGAAAAAAAAGGTAAAGTGGGGTAAAATTCATACAAAAATGTACAAACGAAAGAGGGTATAAAAAGCAAAATCTAGCAATTAGATTAAATAGGGGAGATGTAAATGCAGAACATATTTACAAATAAAATCTTTTCCAATTTATATAAACCCATTGTATAAAGTGAATATATGTTTCTTAATTAGCTTGATACCCTGATCACAAGCAAGTGTCCAAATAATTAACGGAAAGAAATGTAAAAGTAAAGTGTTTACGTAGATGATGGATGGCACCTTTTTTCATTTTATGAAATGATCAGGGTATCATGAATTATGGGTTTTTGTACAACATTAAGAACCCGAGTGTCTAATACGGTAAAGAAAAGAAAAAAAAGGGAAAGATTAAAAGAAATATGTCTATGCAAATAAGAAATTCATAAAAATTGGGGGAATAGTATGTTGGGTCATTATTAGGGTTGTAGTAATAAAGCAAAAAAAAAAATGAATTATTATAACAAGGAAAAAAAAAAACATGCAACAAAAAATGTACAGTGCAGAAAAAGAAATGCAAAATTGATAAGAAAATATAATAACAGAAGGGAGTGCCACACGTCTAGAAAAAAATGCAATTAATCTCTTTTTTTTAAATTGTTGATATTGAATCGACGCCAAATTTTTTCAAGAAAATCCAATTCAATACGCCAAATGAGGAAATGAAGAACATATTTTCCCACTCTCTAGACACATTCAAGTTCTAAAAAAAAGACTCCAACTATCTGTCTCCACACTTTTTTTTTTATTGCCCATGAATTTTTAACAAAGTTCTTAAACTTTCCGAAATTTCGGTCAACGACAATCCATCTCTGGTAGGGTAAACTTGAGTCGGGTTATGAGAAGTGGCCATACGTTCGGGAACCATGTATGCGGAGGATGAATTATATTGACGATCCGATAAAATACGGAGAAGTTCAGAAGACTCTTGTTTTCGCACGGTATAAAATCTATCAGAATATCTAACGGCATCAGGTTCTACATCATCCATAGTAAACATATCGTCATCAGAGGAATTGCCAGAGGACAAAGACGGCGACGGGACCCTTGACGGGGTGAAAACTGGCAAGACAGCATTAGGAGTCATAGGACTAGATTCCTTGCTAGGAGGTTTACTGAGGAAAGATGGTAAAGGCAAATCACTAGGAGCAGGAGAATTATGGAAGGTAGGACCAGCATAAAGTTTTGATGCCATGAGTCTATCCGGAGAAGTAGATGGCCTACGGGAAGCCGGAGGAGTGATTGATAACATGGAACAATCATGACTTGCAAAAGGAGCAACTTGGCTTTGCAATTCGATAGCTGTACTGGATTGACGACGAGGAGCCTTTTCCGGAATAAATGAATTATTGGTAGAGAGAAAGATATCCGAACGTCTTTTATGGTTCTTGTTCAAAGACTTGTCAAAATTACTATAATAAATAACATAAATGATATAAAATAATATTAGTAATGTAAATAATAATGATAACATAAATAATAATGATGATAATATTCATAATAATAATAATAATATATAATAAAATAAAATAAATAAAAAAGATTAATAAATTACCTTTTGGTATGGGCGTTATTATTAGAAGTTTCAGTATCATCATGTTTACTACACATTTCTTCTTCGAGAGCAAGAATCGCGTTAGAATAGTTGAGAGGAGGAAAATAAAAGGCGCTGTTGTTGTTCGTTTGCTGAGGAGGAGCAGATAAACAAACAGGGTCGATCTTTGGCGAATAAGACGACTTCATAGATGGATTTAATAAAATACTATTTACATCAGATTCTTTATTAGAATCCTGTTGTTCATAATTGCAAGATTCAATAACTTGTAAAATCCCAGACGTGGATTTTACATCTTTACGCCGTTGAGAACATTTAGAAGATTTTGAAGGGGAGACGTCAGAGCGACGGCGTTCTTTAGAATAATCACCAACCGCAGAGGGATGTTGATAATCATGTTCTTCACGAGTAACATCAAGAAAAGGTTTAGAGGGAGTAACATTATTATTATTAGAAGATCTTACAAAATCGGTAGCAGATTGAGGTCTTTTGAGGATCGTGACTTGAGGGCCATTTCTAAATTTATCATCACCATTAGAATCACTATGATTATGCTTTCTTGATGGACGTCTTTCACTTGACCTTCTTACGACAGGTTTGTTGTTGATATCGATAGAATTATTAGTTGACAAATAAGAATCATCAATAGTACCAGGATTATTGAAATTATTCGATAAAGAGAAGTCGGGGAATTTAGAATCTCCACGCAAAGAATCGAAATTATCAACACGATTATTAAAATTAGATTTTGTATTCAAACGAGAAGAATTAGAGCAATCACTGGCCGAGACAGAAACCACAGGCACAGAGCTCTCCTTTGATTGATTAGATGGACTAGAAGAATTATTGTGAAGAGGATGACCACGCTTCCCTTTATTTATTGATTTTGATCTTTGATGTCTTGCTTCCGGTTTATGTGGTTTTAATAATTGTTTTTGTTGTTGTAAGTGGTGGTGTTCGAGCCTGCTCTGTACCACTGGAGCAGAGAATATAGTTGTTGTACTGTTATCCATTGTCCTTTTTATTAATTAAAAAATTTCTCTCTTTTTTTTTTTTTTTTTTTTATTATAAAAATGAAAATTAAAAAATGTCTTTATGTAAGCCAATGCAGTTATAGATTTGTCACGAATGGATTTTTTGGACGATTGAACGGAAGCAAGGTGACTAATAGAGCGATCGCAAAGTAAAAAGAATAAAAAGAATAAAAAATAGTTAATTTTTATACTTTTTTTTTTAAAAAAAATAAAGTTTCAAAACAGGAATTATATTAATATATAAATAATAAATAAATAAAAAATAAAAACCTGATTTCGAAAGATTAAAGTGTACAAATAGGAGTAGAGATTCTCTGGCACTGTGGTATAGTTGATAATAACGATATTAAGTCAGGTATCCAAGTAAAGTCAGTAGAAACTCTCAGTAAATAAAAGTAGGAAATAAGAGGAATTGAGATGCCGACAGTAGGAGATATTATTGAACGGTTTTTTGATATAAGAAAGAGTTTTTCGTAAGGTGAGTAAAGAGTATTGAGTAATAAAAAATGGAAAGCTTTTATTTTCTCCAGCGTGGAAAGTTTTTTTTTTTTTAGATATTTGTCTTTTGGATGATCCGACACTCAAGTCGAGAGTTGCTACACGAAGAACAGGCAAAAATATAATATATATATATATTTTTTTTTTTATAAATTCTAAGTTAAGCGGTGGCGAAAGAAAAAAAGAAAGGGGAGGATGAACAGAAGTTTGGTTGAAGGGAGTTATAAGCAGAAAATGAAGGGAAATGTTAAGCACAAAAAAGGGGAGAATGATGCAGAGTGTAACATACACAAAGAATACAATATGATAAGATACAATACAAGTATATTTTATTAGATAAAAAATCACAGTTTCACATAAGCAACATAACCGCTATTTAAGAATAATTTATCAATGATAATAATATATAAATAATAAAAATTAATATAAAGATTATAGAGATAATATAAAACCTATTTTTATAACAAGTAACCTGTAACATATCAAGAGTAAACTAGTATAAAATTAAAATATGTTATAAGATTGAGCCGAAGTATCACCGAAAATATCGTCATAAGTTTTTTTTCAGAAAGTGACAATTGCACAATTTCGCTGTTTAAGTAGATATTAAACCAACGAAATTTTATATAAGGTATTCATTTATGTAAGTTACCCAAGTTGAGTAAGCAAGTTGAGTAAGTTGAGTAAGTTAAGTTGACTAAGGTTGACTAAGGTTGAGTTTAGAATTTATTTATTTGAAAAGCCGATCACCCGTTATAAAGTCGGGGGTCAAGAAAATTTAGTCTTTATCTTTTTTTTTTTTTATTTTAGGGCGTACATAATTCGAAAAGGAATAAAGCATAAAAAAAAAAAAAAAAGACGGGTTATATATGTATACCACTAAAACTAAACGGTTACACATCATATTTCCATAAAAAACCCGAATTTTCTTTATTATTATTTTTTTTTACCGAAAAAATACTTGAAGAGATTTTTAATATATTACTTTGATATTTTTCCGGCATCCGAGAAATTGGTTTCAAGAAAAAAAAAACCATTGATACCGAGATACCGAGATAGAACGAACCGTTTGAAACGAACCGTTTAAAGTGGTAAACCGAAAATAATAAAAAAAAAAAAAAAAATTTTTTTAAAAAATTTAAAAAAAAATTTAAAAAAAAAATTTAAAAAAAAATTTAAAAAAAAATTTAAAAAAAAATTTAAAAAAAAATTTAAAAAAAAATTTGAAAAAATTTTGAAAAGAAATAATTTAAAAAAAATTTTTTTATTAAAGATAATTTAGAAGACAGTTTAAAAAAAAAAAGGATAATGTAAAAAAAGAAAAAATAATGTAAAAAGATAATGTAAAAAAAAATTAAATTTAAAAAAAGGATAATCAAATATATTAAAAAGCCATATTAAAATAGTACCAAGGGGTTAGTTTCAAGAAGTAGAAAGACCAGCATATTGTACTTTATGAATAGGCACGTTTTTTCGAAATCTTTTTTTTTATAATAAAAAGAAAATGCAATCATCACGAGCTAAAATACGAAATAGTACCAAAATTCTTTCCAATAGCAGATCATCGGGGTACAAACAGTGCCAAAAATCCTAGAAGCTTGTATTAATATATCATGCTATTGTCGATTTTTTTAATAAATTACAATTTTAGGTTCATACAAGGGAACGATAGGTTATCTGTGACGAAAGTGGCAAGAAGGAATCTCTTCTTTAGAAGGAAAGAGGCGGAGCAATCATGAACAATGATGTCGCGACCCATACATGTAATAACCAGTAATCATAACCTATTTACCTCATCAATGTTTAACGAAAAACAATATACATGGATACTAATCAACAATCTCATCATGACCGTATTTAGCGATTAAAATTTCATCAATATCGATATATTTTTTGGTTTTGCATAAATTTCTACATAAAGATAAACATAAAACCTAAATAGTCTAAATAGTCATTGCTAACGGCCGTTCAATAGCTCCAATAGCTTTCAATAGTTACGTACGTACGTACGTTCAATAGCTCCAATAGCTTTCAATAGTTACGTACGTACGTACGTACAATAGCTCCAATAACTCCAATAGTTCTAATAGCTCTAATAGCTTCAATAGCTTCAATAGCTTCAATAGCTTCAATAGCTTCAATAGCTTCAATAGCTTCAATAGCTCCAATAGGGTGCCAATAATAGGTCAATGTCAGCAGGAATGACAACACAGTAATAATAGTACAAGTGCGAACATGAATGACAACAGCCAATAGCGACGGTAGTACCAATGTTTATTTATTTTAACGTTTAATTATTCAAATTATTCAATTATCGTTATTGAGAATTTTATCGATATTATCGTGTATGTAAAATAACATTTATAATTAATAATAGATATAATTATCGATATCGTTATCATTATTAAATTAATTTCTTTTTTTTTCTTTTGGAAAAATTTAAAAAAGCCCACCCTTGGTCTTGTGCACAAAACATAACCGCATATAGAAGATCAACTAGAAAGTGCCGAATAATCAAATAATTATAATGGATCGTATCTTTTCGGTATCTTTGCGTAATTTCACTGGGTTGTGTGAATATTTGCAAAGAATCCAACCAGACCAACTTATTATTCTTTATAAATTTTTTTTTATTTTTTCACACACATCTTCATTGGCCTAGACTCAAAGTATACAATTCATCTAACAAAGGAATTACACATTAGATTCGATTGCTGGCAAGGATCAGCATTTTAAATATTCGTCAATCCAAAAAAAATAAAAAAATCAAAAATAAAATAAAAAAATACAAAATAAAATAAAATAAATAAAATCAATCAGTTAATCGATCAACTATCCAGTTAACATATCGAAATATGCTGGAGAACACGTGCATACATTACATATTGAACAGTTCAACCTAAAATATAATAGTAGAGATCTTTTTTTATATTATTTGAAAAAAAAAATATAAATTGAGCCAAACTTATTATGGTAAAATGAGTTAGATTCAAGCATTGCGGGTTAGACATTGTTGGTTAGAGGTTGAATGAACCTTTCCCAACAAACAAACCAAGAGAACGAGGGTGACAATTAAAAATCGGATTGTGGGGGGCGGTGAATAATTTTCTAAATTTGGTTAAATTGGCCATAAAAAGTAACATTTAAGATTTGTTTCACCAAAAAACATCGAACCATATCCTGTATTAAATCTTGATTTTTTTATCACAGTCATTATGAAATTTTATATCACCACCATATTCATCGTGTTCACGGATCCATCGTAACCATCATATCCATCATATCTGGGGTTAATCTGTCATTTTATCAAATCTAAATCTCTGTTTCTCAACTGATAAGCATTTATTCTCAATAAAAAGGTATGAGTCGATATTTGATATCTGATATAATTTTATTTTATTATATTATTATTACGTACGTACGTACGTATACGGTTCGACTAGTTATTATTAAACGGTAATTTTCTTTGGTATTCTAATAGTAGTTATTCTAACAGTAGGTATTCAATTCAATACGTAGTCGTTATTCTAACAGTAATAGTAATAGTAGTGTAGTAGTTCTAATAGAGTTATTCTAATAGTAATAGTAGTAATTATTCTAATAGTAATAGTAGTAATTATTCTAATAGAGTTATTCTAATAGCAATTTCTAATAAAGTTATTCTAATAGTCTAATAGTAGTTATTTTAAATGTATTTCATAATCTAATACTGCACGTAGTACGTAGTTATTTTATTGTATTTCATAATTGATTTCATAATTTATTTCATAATAATACATTCCATATATATATATGATATTATCGATATATTTTGGTTTTTCGGGTCAGTGCGAAAGAATTTGTAGATTATCGGATAAATATTTTAATATCGCGTGGTTCCGATCCATCGGGTGTCACTCTTTTATTTCTTACTCTTTTTACCATTTTTTTTTTACTTATTTTTACCGTTACCTCTTTTATTTCTTTTTTTTTACTTCTATCCCGATTAAAACAAAAAAGGGATTTTCGTGGTCATTGAAACATATTTAAACATATTTAAACATAGAATTTAACCAATCTTTTTTTTTATTTAAGCATTTCGAATATCATTTCGAGTAACACTAATAGCCTTTTTACTAATAATGCTTACGGCGCATTTTTTCTAATGCCGAACATAGGTACGTACGTAGATACGTATGTTCATGGATAGACAGTAATACTGTAGTGTTGTAACAATAAACTGTACGTAGCAAATAAGCTGTCGTAATAAGCTGTAATAATAAACTGTAGTAATAGGCTGTAGTAATAAGCTGTAATAATAGGGTGTAGTAATAATCTGTAAAAATAAGCTGTAATAATAGGGTGTAGTAGTAATAAGCTGTAGTAAAACTGTAGCGATAGATACGTATAAACATTTAATATTAACGTTAATATTAACGTTAATGTTGACGTTAATCTAGGCGGCGTAATTTACGCCGACCCTACCATAATTGTAAAACTGGTTAATTTATGCTTCACCCCGATGAGAATTTCCCGCCAAAATCCCGTTACCCCAAACTGATTAAGGCACATCCGGAAGGCACCGAATGTTTGTTATCTACAGTATTAATAATAAATGATTGAATAACGCTAACTTTTTTTTGTTACAAAATTTTACAAAAAGGAGATTAAAAAAAAAAAAAAATTAAGTATACATAAAATATATATATTCACTTTAAATTTTTTTTTTTTATTTCAAATAAAAAATTCAAATAAATTAAAATAAAAAATTCCAATAAATTTTCAAGTATAATAAATGAAATTTAAGTAACAATTTTTAACAATATGTCGCCATCAAGGACTATTCTTTTTCTGTACAAGGAAATAATAAGTAAACAAAATCGACGTTTATAAAAAAAACAAATATTTATCCGAAAATAGACTCTTGAAAACATAAACGTTCAATGTGTCTTTTTCTCAAACAAGAGTCTTTCATGAATATAAATAAGCATGCAAATCTTGTTTAACGTGTGTGCCACTCGAAGCATATTCACCATAAATAATAAAGTAGTGTTAATATTTGTCAAATATTTGTCACATAAATATTCATAAAATACTGTGGCTTTTAAAAAAAAAACTTGCTATTTGCCTAGCTATACAGCAATAGAACGCTAACGTCATTTGTATTTATTTGGAATAACATTTTGGTCACATTTTTTGCCTGAATAAAATCTTTACGAATTCTTTTAAAATCATGGACTTTTTTTTAAAAAAAAGAATCCTTTTTAATCTTGTAACAATATATGGTAGTTTACTAATTAAGTAAAATCCGGTTTTTAAACCTGTCTGTAATAAAAACTTCACCCTCTTATTGGCCAACAAGGGTCAAACCCTATCTCCCCACAAAACCAATTACATTTTCTTGTTACCAATTTTACCAATTGTGATTTTCTTTTATTTCTACGTGGCTCTGCTCAAATCTAATCTCCCTGTTACAAAAATATAATTAACGTTAGGCGGTCCTTATCATTATCTGTATATCTGGTGACGTAGTCATCATTAATGCTTATGACTTTTCTTTATATGGTAATATTAATGATTATACGTATGAATGTACGTATATATACTAGATACGTACATACGTACATACATATGTACGTGTGTAGACGTATCTGGTATAACTTATACGTATAAATACCAGATACGTACATACGTGTATGTACGTGCGTATATATAAGTACTGTACGTACGTACATACCTACGCAATATAAGTTAAGTAATATAAGTTAAGTAAAGTACTCTACATAATCTACATAACAGGTAATGAGAAGTCCACCTACGTACGTACGTGCGTACGTACCTACCTATCTACATATAACGACCTACCTATCTATAAACGTACGTACGTACATATTTACATATAACGACCTACCTATCTATAAACGTACGTACATATTTACGATTAACATTATATATATTATCGTTACTCATTACGTATTATTTATCTATTTATCTGCATAATCATCCGACTAGGTAGGTACTCCGACACTAAGAGTAAGTCTAAGCCCCCTTTTCAATAAGTATGTACAAATAATATTTGTAAAATTGGTATAGAAATCTTATAAATTGCATGAATTGAGCAATAAATTGTTGTAATAACTAGTATAAATGATATAAATGAACAATAATAGTCGAATAAATGAAACGATAATCAACCAATAATAATTTTGATGTTATATTTAGTTTCATTTAGGTTATACGATGTTAATGCAAACATTGAAACAAACATATTTAAAAATAAAAAATTTCTTTAACCCATACGTTCATTCAATTTGAGTTTCACTCTTTGTACAATATAAAGTTTTATGTTATATTACTTCATTTATTTTTTGAGGCTTATCGTATCACAAATTTTTTTTAAAATACAGGTCTCAAGTTGTAAAGAATTTTTTATTAACCTTCTCAGAACTCACATACTCACGTACTCACATACTCACATACACGTCAGATGTTTCTTTTTTCCTTGCAGATCTTTAATTCGTGTCAAATACTTACACACTTATTATTAGTGCATATATATCGTTATAATACATATATATACTTAGTTCACCATTAATAACTTTTACAGGTGGGAATTTCGCATTTATTTTGTACATATCGATACGTATATTTTTGCAGTATATATGCTTACTTGTTTACCTTCATTATCTCCCGCATTATTGTTAACAACGTATGTGTTTATCAAAACGTACATAATGTTGTAAATAAAAAAGATTTAACTACTATAAGGTTTTATTCAACAAAAACACATTGTACATACGTACAGTACATACGTATTAGTATATTATTAGTAATATACGTACGTATGCCACGTATTAGTAATATACAATACGTATACCAGATACATATCGATATCTGACATTCGTATATCAGATATACGAATACATATTCGTATATACATACGTATACATACGTACGTACGTACGTACGTGTATGTACATACCTGATACTGTGCTTTTATTTTAAATTAAAGTATATGCTAGTTTTATTTAAACCATTGATTATATTTGTGCTTTTAATACTGTACTACTGTATGATTATTATGAATGCGTTAAAGAATTGTCTCGAATGTTAATGCTAAAATCATGTTTGCATTTCTCGATTAAATATTTAATTACCGTAATGTAATGAATGTAGTGAATGAATGTAGTGAATGACTTGAGTACTGCAAATAAAAATCAATTATTAATCTGTATTAATAATAATTTATTAATAATTTATAATAAATAATTTATTAATCTTGTTACATTTTTATAATACGTACGTATCAACAATCCAAAGAAATCAGATTATCCTTAATTACTAAAAATGGAAGTGTTTGAATGTTTTACGTTTTACGTATTCGCGTTTTTAATTTTAATAATAATCCATAAACCGTTCTTTTCCGTACTTTATTAAAATATTAGTGTTAGTCATTTTTTAAATTTTTAAATTTCTTTAAATTCTTTCACACAGTACCTGGATTGTTTGATCACTTGACATCGTTTTGTTTATAACTATGATCATGGGTAACTTTGTGGGGTAATTTCTTGGGTACAGTCTTGAGAAATTCTACAAATTTCTTTGGGGTTGATATGAACACACGTAACTATTTATATCACATGAAATCTTGTTATATCTTGATCTATATCACTATAATTACATTGATTTCAGAATTGAGCACATATCGATATCGATAAATAATATAAATATATTAATATATTAATAATATATTAAATTTACTTTTCCTTCACCTTTTTTTTTATGCCCATGTCCGAGATGTTCAATTCTATCACACGTCTGGAGATTTTGGTCTCGAGATATATAAGACAACGAGATACGTACGGCGAGATACGTATGCTGATGAGATGATCTGATTTAACGTTAACGTTAATACTGTAATACCAATATTACCGTTACATAATAACTATAATCCATTTTTATTTCCTTGTCATACGACGTTTCTATTTAGAAAATAATGACGTAGTTGGCGCGAACAGTTGACAATATCCAACTTTTTATGATTTTACCAAGTATTGCTCAGTATTGCTCAGTATTGCTCTTCTTTATTAATATATGTTCATTTATCAGTTATGGTAATTTGTCGTATATTCACTAAACTAAAATACTGTAAATTATAGGTCTACTTATTTTAGTCAAGTCTGATTATTAATGCTCCGTTAATCTTAATTCAATGTAAAATGTGATGGCTGGGATTGTTTGACAGCTTGGATTCTTAACCATCGCTTTTCCCCTTATTTTATATTTGAGATGCATCGGGATAGCTTATTTTATGCATCGTGAATCTCGGTTTAAAATTTCCGATTATACTATTGCTATCACTATCACTATCCTATCGCTTATGCTAATACAAATATACAAATTTGAGTTTTTAATTATCATATACAAATACAAAATTTATACAAATAAATAATTTTTTTAATCATCATATACAAATACATAATTTTTTTAATCATCATATATCATATCAATATATCAATATACATGATTTTAATACTGTAGCAGGTAATATAATCGGATATTTTTTACTCAGATTCGCGCGATGCATAAAATATGCTCTCCCGATGCACTTCAAATGCACCCCCGACAATAAAAATAATAAAATTATTGTAAAATCTCTGCGAAATTATGTTCCTTGACGAAATTCAACCAAAAATTAATAATTTCGCCTAATTTAAATGCATTTTTGTGAAGTGACTCATTTCAACTAATTAGCTTCGGCGAATTTCGACAGGCAAATGAATTTCAACATCCATATACTGTAAGCACTAGGTGAATTTTGGTGAGGTACATTGTACATTGTACATTGTTGAAGGTATTAAAGTCTCTTTTGCGAGTATTTAAATCTTGGTGATTATACTAATCCTGCACAAAGAAAAACCTAAATGTCTTTGTCTTTCGGATTTTTCACTTTACTGTATATGAGCTTGCCGGCTCCTAAAGAGTGACGAATAATAATTATTTGCAAGGTCACGTGATATTATTGCATGACATGCGGTAAAATTTGTGTGCTGAATTTTATTTAAAAATGATAATGATTAAACGTTTCGAGTTCTTCAACTCTAAGCGTCGGGCAGAACAACTTCTTGTTGTTCACAACTTGCTAATAATGTTTGTATGAGAAATTGTAACTCATACGTTCGATCAAGTAATTCTTTTAGGTGGAGTTTTTGTGTTTCAGATTCCTATGATAATTATCATCGGTATTAAGAATTTATATATCAATAAAGAGAAAAAAAATAATAATTTTTTCAAATATACTTGAAAAAGTGTATCACGCGTTTCAATTAGTTCTTTTATTGCAGGATCTTTCTTCACTTCACTTATTTCCATATTATTTTCCTTTTTAAATATTTTAAAAGAATTGTAAAAAAAAAAAAAAAAGATTTTATTTTTCGTTTAAAAAGAATGGTTTACCGTTGAAGTTTCTTCCTGCTTTTTCGTCCAAATAACATCAATCTGTCCTATTACACCATTCAATTCATCGGCAACATTTTTATATTTATTTTGACTTTCTGTCACTTTTTTTCGAATTTCTTCGGTATTTTCGCTTGAAAGGAAAGTTGGCAACGTGGTAAATATTTCTTCCACTGTATTAATTAACTTGTTAAGAGTTAATTGTCCATTAAGGGCTAAACCTTCAAGTTGTGTTTGTTCCCTGCTCGTTATTACATTACTAATATCTGACATATTTCCTAAACTAAATAAATTCTACGATAAGAAATATAAGAGATTTAAAAAAATTTAACGTTACGTTTTAAAAATTCTTATCGTTATCGGTATCGGTATCTGATTAAATAAATTATCACATTATTCAAGTCCACAACCAATCAAATTATTCCTATATTAAGACGTAAATTGTTACATTGTTACATTGTTACGTAATGCTAGAAAAAGCTTTGAATACGGAGAAAATTTATATGTGTACGTACTTAACGTAGTTTTTTTTTTATTATCAGTTATCAATTAATTATACGTATGTTAGAAAAGCAATATTTAAATATATTTACGTATATTTATCTAAAAAAAAAAAAATGCAAATTATATATATAGTAAAAGTAAATATAATGTCTTAATTACTTAAGAAAGACTAAAAAAAACTTTTAAACATGCAAATTTTACACAAGTATTTTTGAAACAAGAATATTCTAAATCTTATTTATATTGGTCAAAATCAATTCGATAAAAACACAATAATTATAACCAGCTTATAATTCTTGTAATTTTAAATTTCAATAATAGACTATGGTACTGATTATTATAATATTGAAAAAAGAGATCGATGATGAATATTGAAAAAAAAACTACATAGTGATGATATTGAAAAAACGAATCAATGATGATACGTAGCAGGCAGTATGAGATACTGTAAATTAAAATAATCAGATATATTGAAACTATACTAATTTCAAAAAGATAATGAGCTGTCAGAATTTTAAACAGGTAACGGTAAATATTTATTTTTTTTTATGGTATTTATAGTACGTAACATATTCTATTTAAATGTGTAATGTGTAATCAATCTATTCTACGTAATTCTATTAAACAACTATTACATAACGATAACAATTATCAAATTAATTTCCAGAGAGTAATAACACTAATACCGTAATAACACTTTGGCTGACATGTTAAATCCGGATTTTAATAATTAAACGTTTAATCAATATACTGAATATCGATATATCGATATATCGATATATCGATATACTTTAATAATAATACCGGGTAAAAATTTTTTCAACAAGTATATCGATATCAACATACGTACAACTTTTTCGCGTTTACGTTAACGTTAATCAATCACGAAAAAATTATCAATAAACGAATCTTATTGATCAATTTTGATTCATGTGATTCGTGTTACTGATGATCAGATTGGTCTTTATAACTGATAGATAAACTTAGTTTAAAAAAAAATAACAATAAATAAAAAAAAATGGTTACATACGAATTACTAAAGTATAATTTAAGAAAAGTACTATATTATTGACCAGAAACCGGACCAGACACTGAATACGTGTAATCTAGTTATTTGTTTATTTTGCGCTCAGGCACGGATATACAGACGTGCCAGTTAGCTAGTTATTATGAATATTTTAACAACTTTAAAGAATTTCATAAGACCAACTCCTGCAACTTTACCAAGAACTCAGATCTCCACGTGTGATCAAATTCATCGTCCTACAGCTGGCGCTTTTGATACTCAACACGCGAGTCTTGACACTTCTGCCTTCGTTTATACGTGGAGTGACAAACTAATTGAAATCCGTTATAAACGTGATTTCAAATTATACGATACTTTTGAGCTGAGGAAATTCAACTATGAACAGAAATGTAATCCCCTAAGATCGAGAGACGAAGGTTACCTTCGTGAGATTGTGAAAGTAACTGATTGCATTGTTGGAACAAAGTGTCTATTAATATGCACGCGGACCACCCAGTCAGAGTATAGATTTCTATTATATGATATATATGAGAGGATTACTCATATTTTACCAATGAATTTGGACAAGTTGATTCCTACAATAAATGACGTCGTTTTTTCTGAAGAAATCTTACATAGCGTAAGTGATTTTATACCAAACTATTATTATTATTAAAATTTTAATTTTAATTACTTTTTACCTTTTTTCTTTCAGGATGATGAAATCCAAAAATTAAAGCAAGCGGGTACAACTGCTTCAGTATCTTATCTAATTGTTATTGCTTCTGCTATTGGAATATCTTTATATCGTTTATTACCTCCTACAAAAGAATTTTGTTCAAAATTTCGTGTGATTGAAGAGCATTATCAACAATTATATACTAGAGAACCCGTATCAGCTGTGAATGTATACATATCATCTCATCAATTTCATGGTACAAATGGTATTCCTTTCATAATTGCGGGTGGTATGCGAGGACTTATCGAAATATTTAGTTACGATTTTGATTTCAAAATACAAGAGATTCAATCTATAGAACCTCCAATGTCATCTGCTCCGGTTACTCATATAATTTCACGTCCTCCTCAGGCTGATTATGAAGGTCTAATCATTGTTGGTCATGGTGGTCTTGATCCAACTTTGAATAATGATTTCATAGAACAAATTGATCCAAAACCTATGATTAGGTTTTTCAAAACTTCTTTTGGTATTGGCCATCAATCTTGTCAAGAATTGGATCAAAGTTTTGAAGGTCGTCCGGATTCTAATGTTATCAAAGGAAGAATTATTTCAATTTCTTCCGCTGTTGATGGTATTGATTACATTTTATGTGTCGCCTTGGATTCTACTTACATGGAAAAAGATGCCAAAGATGGTCTTGAACTTGCCATATTTAAAATTGAGAATGCTCAAAATATTTCTCTTATATGTTGGGAAAATATTTCTATACTTTGCAATTTGTTACCTGTATTGGACATTGATGCTCCTATACGCTATGCTAAGTGTGAAATTCTTTTACCTAATAGAACGGTCCTTTTTGATCCGAACATTAAATCTCAATGTGAACTATTTTATGATCTGAAACCATCATTTACTGAGTGGTTTGACGATGCTGAGTTTAGAAAATATACTCCTTATTCCGCAATCACATTTAGTGCTATTCGTTCTCGACGTAATCAATTGGATGGTGAACTCATTTTTGATATGTTACTTCGATTTGTAAATATTGAACCAGAGTCTTATCCTCCACCTGATACTGAAGCATTAAAGATTTTGTTTGATGAGATATTTAAAAGCAATGATATTGATATGTTAAGAAAACATTGCCTTGTATATTATCTTTTGAAAGATTGGCAAGCTTTCAGCAAAAGGTATCAAAAATATGCAACCAGATTTTTGATACCACCAAATTTCTTGTGTCTTATGGATGGGTATTGGGCTTTAGATCATTGTCAATTCGCAGAAGCTATAAGATTTTTAACTGAACCAACAGTTACTGTGGATTGGGATATAAAGGTTATGCAGGTGTTATTGAAAAATGTGGGTCCTTATGATGCGTTGAAATATGCAAATCTTAACAATATTCAAGAAACTTCACCTGAAAATATAGAAATCTATATGGAAATTCTATTGCACTGTGATATATGTGAAGCCTTACTTTTTCAAGTGCGTATTACCAATAACATACCGTAAAACTGCGAAATAATGAGGATTGACGTTATTTCGAAAATCGGATTCTTAAAAAAATTTATCGTGCTTGGTTTCGAAATTTCGAAATAATGCCCGTGGGCGTCCGAAACCCGAAACAACGCACACCTCGCATAACATCTCAATGGATTTATAATATAGTAATAATTAGGTTTGGTGATTAATCGTTTATCTCGAAAAAAATATATATATATATCAAAAAAATACGAAATAACGCGCAGGTGGGCGTTATTTCGCGGTTTTACGGCAATATTTTATTATTTACATTCGTCTAACTTTTGGAATTTTGATTAGCGACAACATAGGACTCACACTGAAGACTTTGCGCTATTCAAAAAGTTACTGGACTTTTGTTTCCTTCCGAAACCCGATGCAGATAAATTAAATATATTGCTTAATACTGTAATGGATGAAAATGAACGTGCGATTTTAAATAAATATTGCGAAATCGAAGACCAAGAAACACGAAAACACTTTTTAATTATTTACAATATTCATCATGGCAATATTGTTGAATCTATTAAAGAAAACGAATTACTAAAGCGAAGAGGTGAAAGCATTGGAAGTGGAACAGTAAGCACTCACATGCGAAATAAATACATTGGAAGTATTATGGAGACATTACCTCCAATGCAACTGAAAGAAATTTCTATGGAGATCGATAAGGCCTTAAGTCATGATGAAAGTTAGTTGGGATTTCGTTTATTTTTCAATCTCCAGTATATTTAACATTTGTTTTAATTTATATATATATATATATATATATATATATATATATATTTTTTTTTTTTTTTTTTTTTTTTTTTTTATACGTGTTTTTTTTTCGTTATCATTATTTTCTTTTAGATTAATAAT